GGGGAGTGGGCGGGGCCGGGGGTCTCCCCGACGGGGCTTCCTCGACGCGCGTCGCGTTTTCGCGCCCTCCGCGACCGGAGCCACGGTCCCGCGGGGGGCAGGAGGGCTGGCGACTCCCAAGGGGTCCTGCTCGCTGCCCTCCCGCCGCTCCCCGCCTCCAGCTGGGCAACGCTCCGCCGGGAAGCGCCAGCTCCCCGGGGACCCCACGTCGGGAATGGGGGCAAGAGATGGTGAATCCCGGTTCCTCCCCACCCTCCCCGCCTGGTCCCGGTGCCCCCATCCAAGGAGGTGGCCACAGGGCTGCTCGCTGCCTTTATTGCGGATGCGGTGGGATGCCCGGGCGGGGGGAATGCGGCGTGATGCCGGGGTGGGGACGCGGCGGGATTCCAGGGGGKACCCGGGTGGGACAAGCCCCTCAGGCTTGCTCCCAGAAGAAGGCGTTGCAGGCCACGGTGAGCGCGGCCACCAGCGCCACGTACTCCTGGAAGTCCAGCTCGCCGTCCCCGTCCTCGTCTAGCTCCCGCAGGATCCTCTCCACGGCGCCCGCATCCCAGCGGCTCTGCGGGGGGGGCAGAAAGCCGCTGGTGTGGGGAGGGCGACACGGAGGCCCCGTGTGTCCCCCGTGGTGGGGACCCCCGTGGTGGGGACCCCGCGGCGGCCCTACCTGCAGGAAGCCGCCCAGCTCGGTGCGCAGCAGCTCCCGCAGCTCGGCGCGGCTCAGCGTGCGCCGGGCGCCCTCGCGGGCCGAGTAGCGGTGGAAGACGCGGATGAGCGTCTCCACGGCGGCCTCCAGCCGCGAGGCCATGGAGCCGCTGGACGCTCCGACGGGCGGCTCCACGCGCGCCGCGGCTGCCGGCAGCTCCGTGTGTCCCCCCCCGGCTCTGCTGATGCTCCCTGCCTAATCCCCGTGTCCCTGTGGCATGATGCGCGGGGCACGTCCGGTGCAGATCCTTCGGGAACGCCGGCCTCGCGGCAGATCGTCTATCCCTCCCCTCCCCATCTGGGTATCCGGTGTCCTCGGAGCTGATCGGATGTCGCAGCCTGGCTCCGTGGGCCCTGGCACAGAGGCCCCTTGTTGTGTGCGGATCCGGCGCCTTTCCCAATCGGAGATGCTGCCACAGCAACAAGTGGCCCCGGGAAACCGGCCCCCTCATCCCGGCGTGGGGGCGCCGGCCTTGTCGCAAGAGCCGGGTGGCGCCGGCCTCTCTCCCTCTYCCACATTCCTGTCTTCCCGGCCGGCTGGGAGCTAATTACATCCCGCTGCCCTCCCGCTCCCGCCGCCGCCTCGGCTGCCCCGGCTGCCCCCGGTTGGACCCTGGCAGAGGGGCCGGCATGGCGCGGATGGAGCCGGCACCGGTGTGGCCCCCGTCCCGCATCCCTGCGGCTCCGGCCCTTTCCCGGGACGGCGGCGGCTCCGGGCTCTTGCCCAAGCGGCTGGCACACACCCTGCGACGGCTCCCAGCCTCCGCGGCTCCCCGGCTCCCAGATAAACCAGTTGCTCCAGTTGCTGGGGCTGGGCCCATCCTGCCTTCCCAAAGACTCCGGCGGGCTGCGGGATGCGGGAAGGGGCTGGGATCCAGGAGGCCTTGGGATCTACGGAGGGGGTTCCGGAGCAGCCGCTCCTCCCGCACCGGCTGCTCCTGCCCGGCCCCATCCTGGCACCCCGAATTCCAGGGCCGGGGAGTCAYGGGCCTGCCTGGCACCCCGGGGCTGGTGACTCATCCCGGCGGTTCCCCAAAGCTGTCGCCGTGTCCGGAACGCGGGACTCTGCGGAAGTGCCGGCTCCGTCCCCTCCGTCACCCCGGGCACAGGGCCGGGCCGGATGGGACCGCAGGAAACCCATTCCTGCCCCCTGAGCTGGAGCCAGGGCGGGAACCGCGATACTCCCTGTGCCCGGGTGCAATGAGTGTGTCCGGGCTCAGCGAAACCGGGCCGGCCGCACCCGGGGTCCCCTGAGCGCCTCCGCATGGGAATGCGGTTTGGAAAASCAGCTCCTGGGATGCCCATTGTGGTATCCATGTCCTACGGCCCCCGTGGGAATGGGGGGGACCTGCTCGGGCTCCCSGGAACCAGCCCGGGCGACCGCGGTAAAAATACCACATGATTAAAGGGAAACACTGGGGCAATTCCCACCCCCTAATTAATTGGGATTAATTAATTTTTTACAAAGCCCACTATTAATAGGGATGATGTCAGCGGGCGCCTGAGTCACCACTCTCACTCGGTGCGGGTCAAGCTCGCCCGGGTCTGCGGTGGCGCCGAGCTGAGCCCGGGCTGCGCTCGGTGCATGTGTGACGGTGACACCACAGGGGGGGCCTTGGGGAGGAAATGATGGAGGGGGGGATGGCTCTGTGCTGGGCGGCGTCCGTGCGTCCGGCATCTGCGTGTCCGGCCGGGCGCCACGGGAAACCCGCCGTCCGTCCCAGCCTGCTGACAAAGGGCGGGTGAGTTGGGACGTCCCCTTGTCCTGCGGGACCCCCGGCTGGCTCGGACTGTCCCTCGGAGCCGGCGGAGCCGCTCACCGGGGCGCCGGGCCCGCGGGGCGCTGCCGGCGCCGGGCCCCGCGCGCTGACGCCGGCGTGTCCCTGTCCCTGAGCACAGCGGCCGAGCGGCCGGCCATGGCAGCGCCGGCGCTCACCGAGGTGGAGGCGGCCATCGAGGCRCTGGCCCGCGCCTTCCCGGCCGCGCCGGCGCCGGAGCTCGCCGGGATGCTGCGGCGCGAGCTGCCCGGCCTGGCCCYGGTGAGCGGGAGACGGAGGGAGTGGGGAAGAAGAGCGGGCAGAGCGGAGCCGCCGTCCGTCCATCCGTCCGTCCATGCGAGCAGCCGCTCGACGCCGGCCGGGCCGYGGGCTCCGCGCTGACGCCCGCATGCCTATTCCCGCAGGATGCTCCGTCTCTTCAGGCCGCCCTTGGGGAGCTGGAGCGGAGCGGGGCGGCGGAGGCGCCGTTCGCCCAGTACTGGTGGCTGCTGGGGGAGCTGGCGCGGGACCTGCGCCGGGGCCGCGCGTGCCGCGGGGCGCCCCCGTGCCAATAAACGTCCCCCTGGCT